TTATTGCAACATGGCTGGCGCGTCGTAGGTTTACACTGGTCCTCCTCCTCGTCCTCATGAATCACTTCCTCTTCGAGATCCTCCTCCCGCCAGCCCAACCGCAGCAGCAGGTGCTTGTGGCCTTGGGCTCGAGGGCCTCCCACCATTCCCCCCCATGGCCTTTTACAATCCCTGGTGGATTTGCACCATAGCTGTGGGGGCCAGGCCTTGCAGGTGACAAGCCTTCTGAGGGACCTGGCGAAAGCGTGCAGGTGTGCGAGAGGCGAGCCCCCAAATAACATGATTTCGTAGGACCTCCAACGTGTTCTTGAATTCTATTTTTGGAATTCAATTCAAGAACCCGGTTTTTAGGATTTTTTTTTTGCCAACTTTGAATTCAGAAACCCGTCTCCTACAAGGGCGGCCCCTCAGATGAAGCCTCCCCGAAGTTAGCGTGTCCCGACTGAACCGGCTGCGGGCAACCCCTGGGTGCGGCAGGTTCGTGGCGTGCCGCCTTCGGCGCTGGTTTCTGACACTGCGGGGATCGTTCAACCTCGAACGATCGGCCGCTGCCGACGTGCCAAATCGTTCAACATCGACTGATTCTGGGTCGCCGGCGGCGTTCAACGTCGCCAGCGGGGTCGCCGCCGGTCGACACGACGCGAACCTAAGGTAATCTAGGTCCTCCTCTCCCTGCCTGCTCCACCCCCTCCCTCCAAGCCCGGACGAATTAGCGAACACTCATGCCACCTTCATCCGTCAATGCCTCACCCCCAAATGATCAAGGTTGGCGGTGGGCCGGATGAGTTGCACTCTGACCGCAGCCTTCCCCGTGCGTGCCAGCTTTGAATTCGGGGGGGAGGGGGAGTGTCAACCAATTTCCCCCTCGCCCCGCTCCCCTCCATCGGGGGCGTCCAAGAGGGGGCGTCCAGAAGAGGGGGCCGCAACTCATGGCCGGCGAAATGTGCGCGGCCCAGAGGGGGGGGGGGCCGGGAACGCATTGAAATAAGAAAAGGCTCCATGAAATCTGGGGAGGCCCCTCCCTCCCCCCTTCCCCTCCACTCCAGCACCAACTCTGGGACGGCAGGGCTACACTGTCAAGGCTCGGCGCCGGGGCCGGAGCGGCGCGCAACAGGCGCCCAGACGCAGCCGCTCCCACACGAGCGACTACCGTCGTTGTCGTCGTCGTCGTCGTCGTCGTCGTCAGCGTCGTCGTCATCGTCGTCGTCGTCGTCCATCTGTCGTCGTCGTCGTCGTCTCTCGTCGTCGTCGTCGTCGGACGTCGTCAGCGTCGCCCACATTGCCATCGACGTAGACCGTCGTCGTCGTCGTCGTCGGTCATCTGTCGTAGTCGTCGTGGTCGGTCATCTGTCGTCGTCGTCGTCGGTCGTCGTCGTCGGTCATCTGTCGTCGTCGTCGTCGGTCATCTGTCGTCGTCGTCGGTCGTCGTCGGTCGTCTCTCGTCGTCGCCGTTGTCGTCGTCGTCGTCGGCCGTCGTCGTCGTCGTTGTCGTCGTCTGTCGTCCGTCCTCTGTCGTCTGTCGTCTTTGTTTCCTAAATCAAAAGATTGATCATTGTGGATCCCCCTCTCCAGTGCCCATTGTGTTTTTCTCAATTGAAGTTCCCCTCCCGGGGCTCGAACCCTGTTTTTACGAAGAAGCGTCTTGGGTCTCCAATCTGCGTCGTTGGCCCCCTAAACTACTACAGCACGGGCTCCCGCCTGATACTTCCATACAAATTCTTGAAGAATCGCGCTTCCGCTCGGGAATTCTTTGCGATTTGTTGCAGAACATCGCTCTCGCCTGGGACGTCCTTACAAATGATTGACGAATCGCTGCCTCTGCGCTCTCGAGTCGCGCTCTCGCTCGGGACTTCCTCACGCATTACTCAGAAACCGCGCTCTCGCCTGAGACTTCATTGCCCTCCCCTCTTGCCAACGTCTCTCGCTAAACCCTCTCGTCCTCCATCGTCTCCCTCCCTCCCTCTTGCTCTCCTTCCTCCCCCCCTCCCTTCCTCCGCGCCGTTCCTCTTCGCTCTCTCGTTTCTGTTCCATTATGTGTTTTCGAGGCTGCGCCAATTACACGTGGCAGGGAAGGAAGATATACCCAACGAAAGGGGTGCGATCAAAGACGGAGGGGGCGGGTAGCGAGGGCTTAGGAGCTCCATGCTTGATGACACGCGAGCCTATGAGAGCGAGCGGCCTCGAATGTAGTGCTGACTTCAGTGGGCACGATCCACCGTCGCGGGCCTGAGACCAATCTCTAAGGGGGGGGGGTCAGAAACCAGGGGGGGCCTGATGGGCTTGTTTTCCACCACCACCACAACCACCTCATCCTCCTCCTCCTCCTCCACCTCCTCCTCCTCCTCCCTCCCTCCTCTCCGTCCTCCTTCTCCTCGTCCTCCTCCTCCTTCCCCGCTCCAACTTATTGTGGTGGTGGCGGAAAACAAGCCCATCAGGGCCATCCTCCCCCCCAAAAAACTAATCCTCGGGGCGGGGTTCGCAAACCAAAGGGGCCACTTCCCCCGCCGCACACCCCCTTTCGTCAAACCATCCCCTTTCCCCCTTCCCTTGAAAGAACCAGGGGGTCAAGACATCCCCCCGCCCCCAGGGAAGATTATTCGAGGGGTCCAAGAATCCTCCCCACCAACTACGGGGAAGATTACTCGGAGGAGATCAGAATATCCCGCACCCCACACCCGACCACCCCGCCCGCCGCTGCCAGCAGACGACGACAACGACGACGCCGACGACGACGATACTGCCGCCGCCGCCGCTGCCGCCGCCGCCTGCGCCCGGCGCCAGCTTCAATAGAATCCGACGAGGGCTGGATCCAGCTCTACTTGTACGGACCGACCCAGCTCTAATAGAATCCTACTAAGGTTCGTCCCACCTTGATGAGAATCCCATTGAAGCGGGATCTAGCTCTCATACAACCCCACTGGGGCTGGATCCAACTTGAATGAAATCCTACACAGGACTCGGCCCAACTCTAATGAAATCCTGAGGCGTGGACCCAAGCCGTAATAAAATCCGATACAGGCTCGAACCACATATGATAATATCCTCATCGGGCTGGCTCCGTCCTAGCCGAATCCTACAGGAGGCTCGATCCTATTTGGCGCAAGTACCCCTGGACCTCCGCGGCCGCGCGTCCACCTCGAGCCTCTTCCGACGGTGCTGAGGCCCGACGACCCGCAACTGGGCTGCAGAGGCACCTATATCTTCGTAGGCGCTGAATGCATGGGGAGTTAGTCGGGGGCGCGCAAACATGGATTAGTGATCCATGGATTTGGCGCGCGGTCGCCAAATCCATGGATTGGAGGAGGTGCGCTCCCCAAAATGCGGCCAGTGCCGCGTAGCTTCGCGGCGGAAATCCGCGATTTTCCATGGGAGGCCGAAATCAAAGAGAAACCTCGGCAGACGTCGGTCGTAGGATGTATGCAGACATCTGAAATCAAGCAAGTTCGTGTCGTGTTGACCCGTGCGTTCTTGGTTTAATAAGCCGCTTGGACCGTTCAAATTGGAAAGATCGCGGCTTTCCGGCTTCACGATAACGCGGATCGCATGACACAAACAAATTATTGGCAGCTGGCGGCGTTCAATCTTGAGCGTCAGCGCTGGGATCGTTGCCGCGTCGGCAGATTGGGCTTCGGCCCGTCTGTTACGCGATGCGTTCAGAGGCGCAGTTGCTTCTGCGACCCTTGAAGCAGGACTGCTGCTGAAGTATGTCATGATCCAAGGCTCCGGAAACACCTACTTCCACAAGAACTCGGAACTCGGACCTGCAGCTGCCGCCGACCAGGGCGTCGCAGGTTGCGCCGCAGTTCCAGGCATGTGAACACGTGGAAAAGCTTGCGGATAAATCAAGAGGTGTTCCCAAACATACGAAGGAGTCAGTTGGGGTCCACCGAGGTTTCGCCTCGTTGCCGCCCGTTGCCACCTCGTTGCCGCTTGGGGGGTCCGCCGAGGTTTCGCCACGTTGCCGCCAGTTGCCGCCTCGTTGCCGCGTGCTTGCCGCCTCGGGCGCTGCTTGGGTCTGCGAAAGATTCGCCAAATTGACGCCCGCTGCGCGCCCGTAGCCCACCTTACAGCACATGGCTTGCACTTCGGCGGTGCAACAAGTCACTTCCCGGGCCCACGCTAGAAAACATCTGATTGCGTGATAACGCACAGGTGCAAAGCAGCACGAATCAACAAAACGTGATACCGTCGGGGCGTTGACCTAAGGAGCCCTACATAAGGAACGAGGCCCCTTTTTCTCATAACTTAGACTTCTACGTCCCATCGAAAGCCTGAGCACACCCCAAAGCAAACTGTGAAACAATCAAGGAACACCGAGCCCCTCCCAAACGACAGGGGTTCCTGCTTCGACGCCCCGACTGCACTGTCTCTCCCATGGAGCGCCGCCCCTCCCCAGACATCTGACGGCGTGATCTTCCCACAGCGTGGCTCCCGAGCCGTGTTTCGACGCCCCCGGGTCCCAGCAAGGGCCCCCATGGAGGCCACCAATCGCCACAAAACCTGGCGTCGTATCTTTTTCATGACGCGAGGATTTTGCGGGGGCCATGAACCGGGGGAGGGGGAGGAGAAGCGTGCACCGCTCGTGTACCTTCTGAGCCAGCGGTGGCAGGGCCACTGTCCTGCCATCCTCGCCCACACCCGCGCTCATTGCCCCTCCGTTGCCGCCAGCCCGACATGGTCATGGGGAACACAACATGCCGATGCAACTGGGCACCGGACCTCTCCCCGAGGGAGTTCTGACCACCACGTCGAGGCGAACCCAGTCGTGGCGACGGGGGCCTCCCAGGAGGCCCCCGAAGGCGAAAACGAGGCAAGGGTGGCGGTCAGAGTGAAGGGGCCGAACGGTCTTGCACCCCCGCGACCCCTCCGCGGCCCACCCGGCGACCCACCCCCGCGGCCCACCCGCGCCTCGTCCCGCGACCCGCCCGCCCCCTCACTCCTGTCAGCCCTTGCGGGGGTGTCTCGTGCGGGTGGGTGCTGTGGCCGCCCGCCCGGCATGCCGTGGTCCTGCCCGAGGAGCCGCTCCAGCCGCCGCGCCCGCGCCTGGCTGGCGTTCAGGCGCTGCGCCCCCTGGGGACGCCGCGGACCGCGGCCCGCGCGCGCGGTGCTCGCCGCACGCCGCGCGCCGCGCGGGGCCCTCGGAGGCCCTTTGTTGACCTTCGCGGAAGCTCTCGGGGGCCCTCGCACGTCCCAGGCCCTCAAAAGCCCTCGTGGGCTGTCCGAAGGCTTTCGGAAGCCCTCCGAGGCCCTCGCGGGCCCTCGAAGCCCTTGGAGGCCTTCGCGGGCCTTCGGAGGCGGGGCGCGCGCGCGCGGCCGACGGCGGCGGCGGCAGCAGCGGCCGTCGGCACCCCAAGGAGCCGCCTCCCCCCCTTCAGACGAGGCTAGGACCGAGACAACATGGGAGCCGGACAGATCGGGGATCTCTGAGATCCCGCCCGGCGGTTCTGGAGGATGCACTGGGCGCCGGGGCCAACCCAGAGCGCTCCGGGAAGCTCCGAGATCGCTCCGCAACGTCCTGGAAACAGTTGTCCTGGTCCTGGCCCGCCCGACTCCTCTCCGTGGGGGGAGGGGAAGGCGGCGGAGGGAAGACACGGAGAGGAAGGGGAGATGGAGAGAAAGGGGGAATCAACGGAGACACTGGGGATGGAGGGAGAGGGGGAGGGAGCGAAGAGGGAGGAGGCCTCTGCCAGCTCGGCGGCGGACTTCTGCTGTAGCAGCAGCAGGCGGTCCCTGTCACTCTTCCAGCCCCGCTGGCCCTTGACCAGCAGGGCCTCCAGGCGCTTCTCCCTCGTCTTAGTCGCCTGCCCGGGGAGGCCCCCCCCCTCCGCCCAGACCTCCCCGCGCCAATGACATCAAGACAAAAAACACGACGGACGGATGTCTCACCACCGACGCTGTCGGTCGCTTGGAGAGTTCGACTCCTGCTTCTTGCTGGCCCAGCTCTTGGTGGCCCTCGCGAGTGGTGCCCACGCGACGCGGGCGAGCGCACCGGACGCTCCCCGAAACTGGTGGGCTGCCCCCCTGGCGCCGCCGAAGTCGGCAGCCAGGCGGTCGCGCCACACTCGGGGGCCGCGCCTCCGACAGCGGCCGCCGCCCGGATGCCCGGCGCGGGGCGGCTCGACGCGCGGGCGGCGCGGGCGACCAGGCAGGAAGGGCAGCCCGGGGGGGGGGGGGCAACGCGGGAACAGACCCCGCCCGACGCGACGCTTGGCGGGGCGCGGACGCCGAGCTCCACCTGGCCGGCAGCGCCGCGCCGCCCCGCAGAGCGAGCACAGAGCCGCGCCGCGCCGACCGCACCGCCGAACATCTCGCAGCGGGGCGAGGCATCCGCCGCCCCCGGGGGCGGTGCGCGCGAAGGCCCACGGCAAAGCAGCCGACCCCATGCCCAACAAAGGCGCTCGAGTGCCACGGGGCGCCGGCGCCCTTCCCCCCCCTCCCGATTGCAGCCCCATCGCGAAGTCCACTCCGCCAGGTCCAGGAGGGTCCCAAAAGGAAGGGCCCCGAATTAAGAGGAGGAGGAGGAGGAGGAGGAGGAGGAGGAGGAGGAGGAGGAGAAGGAGGAGGAGGAGGAGGAGGAGGAGGAGAGCCCCGAATCAAGAGGAAGGGCCCCGAATCAAGAGGAGGAGGCCCCGCACATATTGACTCTACACGGGGCTTCCTGAGGGCCTCCTGGCACCTGCTGGGGAGGCTCCAGGAGGCCCCCGGCAGCGCCCCAGCCCGGTCCCGATCAGGGTCCAGGAGGGCCCCACGAGGTCCCGAGTCGAGATGCGCCGTGCATCTCGACTCTGGGCTTCCCTGATTGCCTCGAGGAGACTCGAGGGAGGCCCGAGGAAGCTCCCGACAGCGCCCCAGGACTTCCCCGAGAGAGCTCCAGAAGGGCCTCGAGAGAATTCCAAGGGACGCCCCCCCCTGCTTCGCCCTACCTCCCAGCGCCTCCTCCCACCTCCTGCCTCCTCCTGCCCTCTGCTGCCTCCTGTCACGTGCTGCCCCCTGACCGGCGTCTGAAGTGTTTGTGCCTGGTGCTCGGGGCGCCGCAGCCTCCGCTGCAGGGGAATCCAACTTCTGAGGATGGAGACGCGTTCTCTCCGGGTCTGGAGCGCTGGCCCGAAGAGGGCTCGGGTCAAAAAGGGGCACCAATGGGCCATGCAGGAGCGACGAGGAGAGAAGGGGGGGCCCCGTGGGGTGGAGCTGGCCCCAGGGCGGGGCCGTACGCGCACACCACTGGCGGAATTGCAGGCGGAATTGCCGGGCCTTCTCCACCTCGCCGTTTTAAGTTCCCGCTCGGGCGTTGGCCACACTTCCGCTCGCAATTCTGGTTTCAATTCCGCTTGCAATTCCGATCACAATTCTGCCCAGGACCCATGGGTCCCGAGCCTGTCAAGACCATGTCTGCACCGCTGGGGGCGGGGCGGGGCCCAGGGGACAGAAGCAGGCGCGGGCTTTCCAGCTTCCGGCGACTCGCGGGTCTTCTGGTGACATCACCGCCAATGGAATGGCAGCGGGCCAAGCCGCCGCGGAACTCGCGCGGAAGCGGCTGGCCGCTGACGCACGGGTAGGCACGGTGGGTGCGAACCCGAAATGATCAAGGGAGGGTTGGAGAGGGGGGCCCTACCTAACAATGGGAGGACACACTCACACAATTCGCTATATCTGTGTTGAGCCCTCCACCATGTAGGCGTTCCTTGCTTTGTCGCATGTTCCGCACATGCTTGTTTTCTCCGACGTGTTTCCTCCCGTGCTATGGTGGGGCCCAGCGTGAGAGCGAACCCAAAGTAATCAACGGGGGGCCGAGGACGGCTCCAAGATGGCTCCAAAGCGCCCCAAGACGGTGGGACTACGGTCGAGAACTTTTTTGCTTAGCGTGCCGCGGCAGCGGCCCTGGCGACACGCTACGCCTTGCAATCGGGTAGCATGTCGCTCCGCTCCGCGGGGATGGAAAGTGGGAAATACAGTCAACCCGTATAGTAAGGATGCGCGGTAAGGATGCAAGGGCCTTGGACGCCCATTTCGAAGCTTTTCGAGCGGGGCGCGGCTAACGAAGCTGGCCAAGGATGGACCGAGGAGTCACGGATGCAAGGGTACCCTTGGGAAGGTTGCCCATCCTTACTATGCGGGTTGACTGTACTCAGGACGTGGACGCCTGGGGATGTGGAAGTGGATCGCATGTCGCGCCGCAGCGTGCGCGTGCTGGTGCCAGAGCCAGCAGAGCGCTACGCTCTCCAAAAGCTCCCGGCCGTAAAAATTCAAGCAGCGATGAGAGGGCTCAGAAGGGGGCTCTACGGGGGGGGAGGAGGGCACGACCGTCGCCAAAAAATTGTGCTGAGGCCTCCCTTGGGTTGGTTTTGTCGCTTCGTTGTATGGCCAGCGGTGGCGACGAGCGCACTCCCCCCCCCGACGATGAAAACAAGAACACGGCCTCCAATTCAGAAATGATAGCCAAAGTCCAGTATCCCCGATCAGCGTTTCTTCAGCCAAAGCGGCTCCTGAGAGTCGTCGCGCGTCCTCCTGCACCCGATCCGCCTGCGCCCTCGGCGTCGTCGTCGAGCTCTTCGTCATTGTAGCCGTCCTCCTCCTCCTCCTCCTCCTCCTCCTCCTCCTCCTCCTCCGCGCCATTATCCTGAAATGTCGTCGCCCTGCTGGCAACCGAGAATTATGATGCTCCCATCGTACCTAAGGACCAGTGTCGAAAGAGTGTCGAACGAGTGTCTCCCAGGGCCAGACACGCGAAAACCTCGAATTTCGGTTCTTTGTTCCTCGAAATTCGTTCTGGCGATCCAGGCTAACGTAGGCTGGAACATCATAGACCGAGAGCAGAAGCATCGAGTGCACGCACGAGGAGGGGGGAAGACGAGGAGGCATAGGAGGAGGAAGAGCACAGGGGAGGTCACGCGAGAGGGGCAGAGAGAGGTAAAGTCCCGAGCCCACCAGCGGGATCTCTGACACGGGGTCGCAAGGAGATTCGATACTTAAACGTCGTTCACTTCTAGCCGTGCTCATTGCTAATTGCGTTCGTTCCTAATTATTCCTGGCCCCCTAGTGGCCAGGAAGGGGCCCAGGATAAAACAACTAGAAATGGCAGGATCTTGGCCCGCCCAAGAAATCAAAGGACCCTCGAAGAATTAGAAATGAACCATGTGCAAAGTCCCGAGCCCACCTTCGGGATCTCTTGAACGGGTTGCAGGGAAACTCGATACGTACTGCTAGAGGGGGGTCCCTGCAAAAGGCGTCCAGGACATCTCTGACACGGCCAGCGAAGTCTCTGGAGCGGTATTCTGGAGCTTCTGGAAAAGGTCGGCGCTGTCTCTGAGTCTGTCTGGGAGTTCCTGAAACGGCCAGCGCAATCTCTGAACCAAACAGCTGTTGCTTTATCTGTAACGATCGCTCCGTCTCTGAATCGGCTCCTAGTTGGGCGGGAGGGGGCAAGACGGCGAGGGCGAATGAGAGAAGAAGAGAGCGGGAGACGGAGGTAGAAAAAGCAATCCAGAGGCGCCCGCATCACCTCTGTCTGACGCCATGCCCCTCCAACCCATCTTACGAATGAGGCGGCCGCCACGTGCTGGCGAGAGCGGGCATCGTCCCCTCGGTGTACGGGCTATTGATCCGAGCCTGCATGCTGATCACAAGACATCCCCAAGGTGCCCTCCAATCTTTTTATTGAAGGCTCCAGAGATGAGATTTGGGCCGGTTTCGGTCTCTGCTAGGCCCGAAGGCCGTCAAAAAGAACTGCTCAGGATGAAAAGCCCGTACCTGGGAAGGGTTCGAGACCTCTAGGTGTTACAATCACAGAACAAGTCACGACGTCGGATGCCTGGGCGATAAGGACCCGGGCCTTCGGCGCAAAGAACAAACATCGGGCACACGCCAGCATGGATCAGGGATCCGTGGATCTGGCGCGTGAGCACCAGATCCACGCACTGGAGCCTCCAGATCATGCAGCCAATGCCGACAATTTTGGTGACGGAGCGCGCCGACTCTGTACAGCAACGGGACCCGTCGCCCCTCCACGCGCCCTCATCTATGTTTGCGCCTGCCTGAAAATACCTGGAGGTCCCCAACGTCCCCCCACAGTGCGACGCCCCTCCAATGACCCAATGAGGCGTCGCAAGGGCCACCGTTCCAGCCGCGGCCTTCGCCACAACCGCGCTCCTCCTCCTCCTCCTCCTCCTCCTCCTCCTCCTCCTCTTCCTTCTCCTCCTCCTCCTCCTCCTCCTCCTCCTTCTCGTCTCCTCGTCTACTCCTCCTCCTCCTCCTCCTCGTCCTCCTCCTCCTCTTCCTCCTCCTCCTCCTTCTGTCACCCATCCTCTTCCTCTTCCTCCTCCTCCTCCTCCTCCGCCCCCTCGGTCTCGTCCATATCCTCCTCCTTCTCCTCCTTCTCCTTCTCCTCCTACTCTTCCTCCTCCTCCTTGGGCCCCCCTCTCCAGGGTGCGCCTGCTATGGAATACAGTTGGCCTCCCCTGAGACGTCGCGCGCGCGACGGCAACCTTATTCCTCGGTGCTGTGCCCCGTACCCCAGAGAGAACGAATATCCTGGCGAAGGACCTAACCATATGCAAATGTGTACCGCGTTGTGGGTACCGCTTTCGGTGGAGCTCCCGTTGGGGCAACGAAGCGTCTGAGGGGTGTGCAGGAATTAGCTGGCGCCATGCGAACGCAGCCACTTGGGCCGTCGGTGGAGCTCCCAATGTGGCCACCAAGCGTGTGAGGGGTGTGTCGACATGGGTGCGGCGGTGACATGCGCACGCAGCCCGACGCAGACACTGGGGTCTTAGATGAGGCTCCCTATGGGACCACGAAACATGTGTGTGCCGAAATGATTCACATGCGGAAGGCAGAGGCAGGGATGGGAGAAGGGAAGAGGGCAGCTGGAGGGAAGGAGAAGCGGGACGCTCTCTTCAAAACAAGGACCCGACACCACAGGATGGTTGGGGAAAAAATGTCCTGGGGGGATGGGGCTGAAGTGCGGGGCCAATGGCATGAAGAAAACATGATGGCGGAACATTGGGCCTCTCGTCTTTTTCTCCTCCTCATGCTCCTCCTCCCCATTATCCCTCCCTCAATCCCTCCTCCTCCTCCTTCTCATCTCCCTCGTCCTTCTCCGTCGTCCCTCTCCCTCGTCCAAACCCCGTGATCATCTTCCCTCCTCCCTCCCTCCCTCCGCCCCCCGCCCCCCGCTCTCCCCCCACCTCCTCGGAACCATACAAACAAAAAATGCTGTCGGCATTCGTTGCAATTCCGTACGTGCCCGTTTCAATCCGGACCTTCCGCCCCGTCCCCGTCCCCCGCCACCACTCTTCCGCGTCTGCCCCCCCCCGCTCATTCACTTCTTCCTCTTCCTCCTCCCTGCCTTCCTCCCCCTCCTCTCCCCTCATCCTCCCCGTCCTCCTCAACTTCCTACTCCTCCTCCCTGTCCTCCTCAACTTCCTGCTCAACTTCCTGCGCCTCCTCCTCCTCCTCCTCCTTCTCCTCCTCCTCCTCCTTCTCCTTCTCCATCCTCGGTCCTTATGAGTAAGGCCTTCCTGTCGCACCCCCAGGCGTGTCGGTGGGGCGGGCGTGGCGTTCCGCCCAAAACTTCCTCGCTATACTTGTGTTGCCGAAGCTGCTGCAGCAGCCTCAGGACTGGAGGGCGGCCCGTTCTCACCATGTGTCTCTCGCCGCAGCGCCGCGCCCATTCGTCTTACGAGCTTGCAGCAGTTTCAAAGGTAGCGGGCAGCTTTTCAAAAAGAGGCTCTCGCCCCAGCGTCGCGCTCGGTCGTCATAGCATCCAGAAGTGCACCTGTTCCATCTGTCAACTCTGAGGGGCTTCCAAATCCACAACTGAGTTAGCGGCAGCGGTAGTCAGTTCTGGGGGCCCGAACTCCGAAATTGAGATTGAGAGTTGGAGAATTCAATTGTTTCAATCGGCGAGGGACCTAACCCCTTTTGGGCAACTAAAAGTTCACAACGGTTTCAAGGTCTCGCGGCGTCGGAGTCTCAGGCATGGTGTTCTGGCACGACGTAGGATTATCAGGATGCAGCTGTCATGGTGATTCGCGACGTTGAAGTCCCAGGCGTTGGTATCTGGCAAGATTGAGGATTGTCCGGACGCAGCAGTCACGTTGGTTCGTGGCGTTGACGCCCCACGGACGGTGTTTTGGTACGATTGAGGATTCTCAAACGGTTTTCTTCCAACGGGCCACTTCCCACAAGATTAAACTCTTCTAGGGACCTATGAAGAGGAAATTTAGATGGAGGGTTCATTGCACCATCGTTGGCGCGTCTTGTGTGTGTGAACTAGTCCTCTTCTTCCATTTCTTCTTCCTGCTTTCTAATACACGTCCTCCTCCTAGTCCACCTCCTCCTGCTTCGCCTTTTCCTCCTCGTTCATATGCTCCTCTTCCTCCACCTACCGCTCCTCCTCCATATCCTCTTCCTCCTCCTCCTCCTCCTCCTCCTGCTCCTCCTCCTGCTCCTCCAACCCCCCTCCTCCTCCTCGCCCCTCCCCCTCCACCTCCTTCTCTCCACCCTCTCTCTGGCAATCACCGCCTGACCATCCACCTGCGACTGGCTCAGCTGCTGGAGCAGCGCCGCGCGCTCGGCCATCTCGCCGCGCGCGGGGGCACCGTCGGCCTCGAAGAGGCCAACGTCGCTCCTCGAGCATCGGTTCACGGCTTCCCATTCCCATTTCCACTCGCATGGCCTAAGCCCCGCTGGCGGAGTTAACCCCCGTGGGAATATTGTGAACGCGTTGGGTAAAGAACCACTGGATAAGGAATCGAGGGTCTAGACGATGGATACCACCGCCGCTCCCATCAGATAAGAGATCCTCCAGGGTCTAAAGCTTCATGGGAAAAATCCTTCACGCACGGCCCGACCGTTCATTGTGCTTTCTTCGGGCGTCGCGGGACCCATCCCCACCTTGGCGTTTGACCTGGCGGAGCCGAGATACCATGGTCCAATGGGGATGGGAATCGGTGGGACGATGTCTGACTCCTGTTCCGCTGCCCTGGGTATCTGCGGGCTCCTCCCTCCTCCACCACTCCACCATTGATCGCTCGAATTTTCAAATTCGCCCTTGAAAATGTCCTCGAGCACCTTTTCCGCGCGGCTGAAGTTAAAACGCACCCCGCGAGACGTGCGGAGATCGAATTCTGACTCCGGATCCTCGGGCGACCCGACGAGGCGGAGGGAGAGGAGGGAGCGGGAGGCGGAGGACGAGAAAGGGAGGCAGACAAGGGCACATCAGAGAACATGCAGAAGTCAAGGCCGAGGGGAGCAGGCAACCACATGTGACATGTGAACCAGACCCCTGCGGGTCCGATTTCTGGAACGCCTGCTGAGGGTCAGAATTTGAAGGGTGCCTGCAGCGAAGCGGACCCGAGGGAGGGTGTCAGGCACATATTAGCGTCGATTGGACCAGCAGGGGTAACTGGTGAACGCAAGTGGTCGCAGAGAGGAGGAGGAGGAGGAGGAGGAGGAGGAGGAGGAGGAGGAGGAGGAGGAGGAGGAGGAGGAGGAGCGAACGTCCGATGGCGGACGTCTGTTCGATCTCTAGCGAGTACCCGACTGTAATGGGAGCTCGCCCTCTCGGCTCGGGCGGCGGGCGGGGGCAAGCCGCGCCTCCCGCAGCAGGTTCACGACGTGACGAGGGCGGACAGGGGGCGAAGGAAAAGAAATGGAACTAGAGCGGCGCGCGTCCGCGCCGCCCGACAGGTCGGGAGGCAGCCTCAGCGCGTGCCTGGAGGTGCAGAAGTAGTTCGACATCCTCTCGTAGGTCAGCAAGCCCTTCGCAGCGGCGTCCTTCGACAGGTGGTACGCACGGCACCCCACGGACAGCCTGGCGACCAAGCTCCTGATGCCGTTCTCGCCATCGAACGGCTGGAGGAGGCCAAGGCCGAGGCGCTTCAGCAGCTCGGCGGACAGGTCCCCTCGCGGCTTCGCCACGTGGTGGAGCATCCTGGTGCAGGTCAGGTGGTGCGCGATGGCGTCCTTGGCGTCGCAGCCGAAGTGGCAGCTGCGCTTCGCGTGCACCCAGCCGGCCTCAGCATGCCTTGGGGTGGCGGCGGCACTCGGTTTTGGACCAAACCGCGTTCCAGGCGCTGTTCGGATGTGGTCCCGGCGCTGTTCGCACGCGCTGTATGTATCCATGCAACGGCAGGATACGTGTGCGGAGTTTCTCTTGGAGGCGGCCACACCAGGCTCGGGTCTGGCGTCGAAGAAACATGGTGCAATGCATGCCTCCAGTGATCCAGGCCTGCTTCAAGGGAATTGGACTGCATCAAGCACATGTAAGAGATCGGCATGTGCGAACAACCGAACATGGTTTTGGATGCGAGTTGCAACTGGTGCTTGGGGGCCGCGCGCCGGGCCCGCTTCCTAGCACGATTGGGGTCGAACGTGCAGGAAGAGGAGCGCTGGGAAGGAGGAGATGTCAAAAAGAACTGCCCGATGCTGTCCGTGAAACGGGGCCCGCTCCCTATCATGTGCGGGGCGCGGAGTGCAGCGCCCCCGCCAGCGCCCGACGCCCGCGTCGCCGAGGGCATTGCCGCCGTACAGGCACAGCTCCCGCAGGGTGGGCATGGAGGGCAGCGCCCCCGCCAGGGCCTGCGCCCCGTCGCCGCCGGTGCCTTTCCCGTGCGGGTCCAGCTCTCGCAGGGCGGGTCTCGAGGGCAGCGCCCCCGCCAGGACCTCCGCCGGTCAAACTCGTCTCGGTCCACAGACCACCGCCTGCGAGCCGCTGGCGCCCCCGCCTCATGCCCCAGGTCGGCCACCGCGGACCAACCAATGCGCATGCTCGCGAGCACCTGCTTGATCTGCTCCGCGAAGCACCGCTCATACGTCGTCCAGCCCGACTGGTCGTAGCCAGACTCGCGAGCGCTTCCCCACTCCTGAGGGTGCTGCGTTGGCAGGAAGACGGTGGTGGCCTGGTGGGCCAACCACAGGTCCATCGTCTTGTGCAGGGCGTGCTTGAACGCCGCCTTCTCGACGGGTGTACGCTTGGCCTCGTCCGCGGCCTCCTGGGCATGCACTTCGCTCTTGCCTTGTCGCAGGGCGGCGGCCATGCCTCCTCGACCTTACCGGGGTCGCACTGTAGCAACGAAGGCCAGTCCAAGAACACGCCAACTTCGCTGAATCCCCTATGGGGAGTACTTGCGGCGCTCTTGCTCCAACGTTCCAACGTGTCAACCACTATATTTCACTACAACCCCTTGGGGTCAGGATGCTCGCGTGCGTCCCAGCAGAATGAGATGGTGATGATCTGCGCCACCTCGTCCCACCCTCCTCGCTCCCCCGCTTCCCAGACGAAGCGGGGCTCCTTTGCAGAAACGAAGGCCTCCCTGGGCAGCTCCTGGCGCCTCTTCAATACAAAAAGGCGCTGATGCAGCAGCCACGACGTGCGGACCAGGCGCACGGGATGGGGGCCCCCGACGGTGCATGCGAGCGCGTCGAACTAGCTCTTGGCATTAGCGAACGTACTGGGTCAAGTGGCAGGGATCCTCCTCCTCCACCTCCTCTGTGCTAGGGACCTCCTCGGCCGCGGGGGCTCCCCTCCCGACGGCTTGGCGATCTGCCAGCTTGGCAGGGGCGAGGGTGTGTGCGACTTCCAGGGTGCCACCACCGGCAGTGGAAGCTTGAGCCAAAAACGACGCCAGAACAGCGCCCAGACAGCGCCAGGACGGCACCCGAACAGTGCCAGAACAGCGCCCCATCAGTGTCCGACAAGTGCCCGAATCGCGCCCACAATGTTTGATGCGCAGTGCCGGAGACCTGGTCTGGCGCTGTTCGGGTGCTGTTCGCGCACAGTTCGTGCGCCAATCGCCCGTTGTTCATGTGCTGTTGGGGCGATGTTCAGGCGATGTTCGGGCGCTTTTCGCGCGCTGATCGCGCGCTGCTCGGTGGCGCCTGGAACACGGTTCAAAAGCCCCGGAGGTTCTGCGACAGACGACGGCATCGAACAGGCTTTGCCGCCAACCCACAACATGTCGCCAGGGTCGTGAGGGCCGGCCTGAACACCCATAGTCGACTTGGACGACACTCCCCGGGGCTCTCATGTGGGGCCGATGAGTGCGCCGGGGGCCTGTTGAGGCCAGCCGAGACTACCAGGAGGCTGGACCCACACACATGACTGGACATCACAGGCGGACCAGATTGAGGCCACTTGCTGGGCAGGCTGCGGCGAGCATATCGGCTGCCGGACTCGGACCTGGTCGAGACCAGATCCGATACCGAATCGGGTCGATCAGATCGAAATGGCCCCTTGGTGGGGCCCTCCTCCCTCGAAGCCGACCCCGATCGGACGCGAGAGGGCGGCTCCTGCTCTGCCGTGCCACGACGAAGCCCGGGCTCGCCAGCGCTGGGTCCGCCTCGGGTTCCCGGCTGCGGTGGCGCGGGCCCGAGACCTGGGGGCGGAGGGGAGGCATCCCGTCCCCCCCCCTCTCATCCCTCCCTCCCTTCTGCTCCCTCCTCCTCCTCCTCACCCTCCTCCATTTTCCAGCATCCCTCCTCATCCCCATCCTCCTCCACCCTGCCTCCTCCCTCCTCCCTCCATCCCTCCCCCTCCTCCCTCCTCCCTCCTCCCTCCTCCTCACCGTTCTCATGATCTTCCTCCACCCCCTGCCCTCCTCCACCATCTGCTCCCGTCCTCCATCCCATTTTCTTATGAATAATCGCTCATACCTGTCGCACCCCCAGACGTGTCGTCGGGACGGGCCAGGAGTTTCGCTTGCGACTTCCTCACCAGTTATGGTCCTGAAGCTTGAAATGTGCGGTAGCTTGGTGGAACGATGAGTGTTTCTTTTTCCGGAAGTGGAGCAGAAGAGGAGCGCGCGACCAATGAACCTCACCACGGTGCGACTAGCACAAAATAACGTGAAACAGGCAATCGCCAGTCAACGAAGAACGCAACGCCGACCTGACACAGGCAATACCATGCGATGAACTATGGCCTCAGAGAGAATCCGCCGATCCGGCGTGTGAGTTCGAATAAGCCTCAGCTACAGCCTACAGCCTACAGCCTGAGCTTCAGCTCTGCTGGGGGGGGGGGAAAGGGGGGGGGGAGGGGGGGGGGGGACGAGTTGTGCTCCGCTTTCCGGGGGGGCTCATGGGGCCTGTCGCGGCTACCCGCGCGTCCCTGGGGAGGGCATCTTTTGACACCCCTCACGATGATCGTGGCCTCCGAGAGGGTCCTGAACTCGAGTACCTCCCCCTCCCGCCCCAAGAAGCTCTCAAGAGGCCCCAAGAAGCTCCCAAAAGGCTCCCAAAAAGCTCAAAGAGGCCCCAACAAGGCCCCAAAGAGGCCTCAAAGTGGCCCCAAGAAGCCCCGCAACGGCCCAAGAGGTCCAGGGGGGCCCCAAACTGCCTCCCAGAGGCCCCGAAGAGGCAACCACGAGATCCCAACCAACATCCATGAGGCCTCTGAGCCACCACCCAGGCACGGTGGCGGGATAGGCCGAAGGCCACTAGATAAATGCAGAGTGAGAAGGGGAGGGAGGGAAAAAGAGAGGAAGGACGAGGGCGAAGGAGGATCACATCAGTCGGAGCGCCACCGGATCGGCGGCACTGGCCGGAGAGAAACGGAGGAATGAACGGAGACGCGAAAAAGGAGAAGCGAATACGAAGCCTTGGTGATGTGACAAGACGATCGGCCGAAGCCGCAGGCCCCTTAAGATGAATCGGGACATCGCGTTGTCCGAAGACACAGCGCGCGAAGGAGAGATATCTTTCGAAATGCTACGATTGAGGCCGAAAAGGAGACAAATCTTGGAACGAGTTTCGACTGCCCCAGCCAGAACCGCTCCAGGTTCACCTCCGTGGCTGTCAACGACTGCTGCCAATACGAGCATGGCCGACAAAAAGACGAACGCCACGATGGTGCTGACAAAAGTGCACTCGGCGAGTGCAGATGCGAGCCCTCGAAGGCGGGCCAGCAAGTAAGAACCGGCGAAGGCCCCTCGCCAACAACACCGCTACCAGCGGCGCTCTGAAGGCTAACTGAGCCGCTGGATTATGTTTACATTAGAGGGAGGGGTGAAGGGGGAAAAGTGGCAAGAGAGAGAGAATGGAAGATATCCAACGCGCAACACACCGCAACTGGAGAGGACACAACCCGCTGGCGCCACACTGGTGAAGCGGGCGCGGAGGATCGGCCAGCGCGTGGTCCGACACGAAGGCAGGGCATGCAACAAAAACAAAACAGCGACTACCTTTTCGACCACCCTTCGGGTGATAAGGAGGTCGGGGGGTGCGGAGGGAAGAACCAGCTGCTGGCAAATGCGATGGGTGTGATGATGAAGATGCTGGTGACGCCCCCTCGAGTTAGCAACGGCGCGTGATGACGATGATTCGCTGCGATGCAATATCACTGTCGCCCCTGCCTTCTATTCCACAACCAATGTCACTATCAACCTCACTGTGGATCTAACTTTTGCTCTCACGATCCATCCCCCTAGCGATCTCATTCTCGATCTCACTATCGACTTCACTATCGACACCAAGTCGGGACACCCCTGGCCTCCGCCCGCCCACCGCCGACAGAACACCAACGGGACACCGACGGACACAAACGGGACACCACAGGACAGCACGGCGGGACACCCTGGGCCACCGCGCGCCCACCGGGGGCGGAGGGGCGGTCCGCTGCATCCGAATCACACTAGGGACGGCGGTGTCACTCTCTCGTGCGCCCGCGCCACTTTGCCTCGCCCGCACGCACGACACGAACACGACACCGAAACCGATGTCCCCGTGGGTGGCTCTCCGTTCCACTGCGATCTCACCCCCCAACCTCGGACGTGAAATGGGTGTCCTTCGGCGGCGAGCTGGCCCAAGTGCCACGGCACCGCAGCCGCGGAGTGGAGGCAGAAGGCGGGCGCGCATGGAAAGAAAGCGCGAAGACAAGCGTGGGAAAGACAACCCTGGGGGCGAGCTGGCCCATGCGCCATGGCACTGCAACCGCGGAGTGGAGGCACAGGGCGGGCCCGCGCACCAGGGGCGACAGCCCATGCTATGCTTATGTTGCTCCCATCGCACTTCAGGACCACACCCAGAAATAATTTCGAGCACTCGGAGAAGTATCGAAACAGTGTCGAACGAGTCTCGCCTCGCAGGGCCCGACACGCGAAAACCCTCCAGTTTCGATACTTTCTTGGTGCTCGAAATTCGTTCTGGTGATCAAGGCTAAAGTAGGTTGGAACATCATAATGCTATGCAAGCACACGTGCTTTCACACGAAAGGCAGGCGCGCTACGGCGACACCAGACGGGATCGCGGCAGGACGGCCACGACAGAGAGGGGCGAACGATGACGAGGCGACCGACGCGACAAAGGGAGGAGAGGAGGGGAGGGAGGAGTCAAGCTGCGCAGCTGAGCCTGGATGGCGCTGACAAGCAAGTCCGTAGAATTCCCGTCCTTCGCCATCGAGGAGATGAGCAGGCCAGAAGTGATGGCGCCAGGCGACTCCGATGACCACATTCGTGGCAGCCTCTGCAAGCACACCAGCGTTGTGCCAGCACATCCTCGCACCGTCGTCGGCTGGAAACTCGCCCTGGCACGGCGTCTTGCAATGCAGCGCACACGAGGCCATGACAGCCGGGCACTGCAGCAGCAATGGCCGGCCGATCTTCTCCGTGCAACTGTCGGTCTCGAAGAGGGCAGCCAGGGCCCAGTCGGGGATGTCCGCGTTGCTGGCGACGGCACGCTCGAGCCCTCCTGCGGTGCCAGCGGGGTACGCCTCCTGCAGCAGCTTCTTGGGGCCCTGCGTGGGCTTGGGAGGCACAGCCGCTCACCGTTCCAGAAAAAGCCCTCGGGGCAGACGGTGGGACGCTACTTCGCCCTCGCCTTCTGGGACTTCCAGAACATCGTGCCCTCGACTAGCACGTGTATCTGAAGTCCGGCACCATCTCGCTCAAGCTGTCGATCACACCGTCGAGGGTCCCGATCATGAGCTTGTACATCTCGTCGTTCCGCTGATGTTCGGGCTGCACCTGGTCCACGACCTTCCCTGCGCCTCCTGTCCGGTCCCGAAACCCTCCCAGCTGGCGCCCACGGCGCCCAAGGGATCGCCCACTGCGACCAGGTACGTCGCCACCTCCAGTGCAATCTCGTGGGGGACGAACCTCACGACGCCGTCGCTCAACAGCAAGAGGATGTCGGATACGGAAATAGTGGCCATGGGCACCGCGTCGGGGCGGCCCTCCCCCTGGAAGTTCCAGCGATGTTACCCTGGACGGCCGGGGTGATGTTCACAGCGGTCTCGAAGAAATCAATATACTCGTGCTCGAACGTCCCGTAAGCGGTCGCGTTGTTGTCGCAGAGGGGGTGATTTTCAAAGTGTGCCAGTCGCCTTAGCGCCGCACAAATTCGTTCTAAAAGTTTGCAGCCGTTTCAACGATGGAGGGCGGTACATTCTCAAAATGTGGTTCTCTTCTTGGCGCAGCGCACATTGATTTAAAAGCTCGCAGATGCTCTGAGGATTCGTAGGGTTGAACTCCCAAGAGTTGTGATCTGGCACGGTTGAGGACTGTCAGGACGCAACCGTCACATTGATCCGCAGTGTTGAAGCCCTAGGAATGGAGTTCTGGCACGATTTGTGATTGTCAGAAAGAAACATTGACGTTGAATCACAGCGCTGAATTCCAAAGAATGGCGATCTGGCACGATTTCGGATTCTCAGACAATTGTTTTTTAAATGGGCACGTTCCGCAATGAAAACACTTTCGTGGACCTATGAAGAGGGAACTCGGAGAGAGGTTTCATTGCAACATCGTTGAGGCGTCGTCGGTCTACACCAATCCTCCTCCTGGGCCGGAAGTCGGGCGTTGGCAGAACTGGGTTTAGTGGGACCTGGTTCAGTGATGTGTATACTGGTGGGGGCGCCCCCCCGCCCCGTCTCACTTTGACCAGAACTGCCGCCACCCGAGAACAAAATACGGGCTCGGCAGACCTGGCTTAGTGACCCGGGGTCCTGGCCCAGAGGCCCTGCCACTGACCGTGTCCCCCTTGCCTGCTACACCCGGGGAAAACTTCCGCGACCTCGTCCGGAGCTGCTGCCGCAGCGGCAGCGTCTGTCGGACGTCTGTCGTTCCGTGACTGGAGCCTGCCGTCGGCGGCCCGAGCGGCGGCGGCGCTGCCCGTGAGATATCCCGAGATATCCGCGGCCCCTTGGCAAGCTGGTGGCTGCCCCTGCAGTGCGAACACGGGGTACGAAATCCAAATACGAGAAACCTACGGGAACTCATTCCATCGACGCGTGAGCTTCCCGAGGTTCCCCCCAGGGCGTCTCTTGGCCCCTGGGGCCATCGGGGGAAAATAATTGGCCCTTGGGCACCTGCTGACAAGCTGGTTTCTCATTTGGTGCGCCTACTGAGGAGGAGGAGGAGGAGGAGGAGGAGGAGGAGGAGGAGGCACCAAATGGCCGAACCTTTTCTTAAGCAGGCTGTGGGGGCGACCCGCCCGTGGCCCTCCTCTCAAGCGGTTCGCGAACTGAATCTGGATCGCGCGGCGCGTCGCTTACAGCCATCTCGCTGCCATTCAACCATCGTGCTACTACAGGGAGCGCTGAACAAGGAAGGAGTGGGCTTTTCAGGCCACGGCGAGCCTCGGCCACGAGCAGGTTCCAGGACACACATCTAAGGAGCGGCCCGAAAATCGGACCACCCTCCTGAGCCCAAGGTGGTCCTTAGTGCGGCGTCTTGACTGCAAGGATCGCTGAAAAGTGTCGAAGAGGCTTTCCTGGCCACGGCTGGCCTAGGCCACACACAGACTCCTCGACCCAGATCTGAGGAACGGCCCGAAGACCAGAGCCCCGTCGAAGCATTAAGTGGTTCTTCTTTCAGCGTCTTGACGGTGCGCGAGCTGCGGCGTGATCGACGTCTTGTTGCAACGACTCGGCCACCGGCGGGTCGCTGGGCGTCGATCGACAAAGGCATCGGCGCAATCGATGGCCGAACTCGTTGCCCCTCCCGTGCAGGCTTCCCAACAGCCGCCGGCCATGCAGTTGAGGGCACGTGCGCGCTGAGGATGTACCAGCAAGCTGGGAGCACACATGACAGGAGTCACATGTGGCACATGCGGAGGCCAAGTGCTGGATGCACGTGTGGAGAATCCTGGTGCCTGGCCACTTGTGTCGCCAGCTCTCGCGGCCGACGGCGTCATGTGTATCCAGCTCCCCAGCAGATGCAGCTGTTGAGGCATGTTGCTGTTGAGATATGTCAGGGCTGGACCTAAACGTGTTGTTTCGTGTTGTGTTTCGTTTTGCTCTACCTGTTGTCCTGTACCTCCATGCCAATCCGAAAAACAAAACACAACCGAAATCTAGCAAAACAGCGTATAGGCCCAGCCCTGAGATATCTTGCTCGGCCGATCCTGGACATGGCGGCTCAAAACATCAAGTTGTGGGGCGAAAACCTCTGCCTCTGGAGTGTGCACGCTGGTGGTGAACGAAGGGATGTGCAAGCATGAACCCAGCCCAGCCCCACCTGGGGGCGACTGAGACGAAGATGGGGCTGCTTCAGAAGGCTGATCTTGCCGATCCAATTGATCGACGACACGGCGCGCCAGAAGTGCGTCAGCGTGGCAAGGCCCTCTGACGGGCACGACGGTCGAAGAGTTGTTGCCGACGCGGCAAGCTCGGGACCGAGACGCCCTGAGACAGCATGGACGGAGGAGGATGAGGAAGAAGAGGAAGAGGAGGAGGAGGAGGAGGAGGAGGAGGAGGAGAAGAAGGAGGAGGGGGAGGAGGAGGGGGAGGAAATGGGGAGGACGCGTCCTCCTCCCCCACCTCATCCTCAAACTCGTCGTCCATACCCGCCTCCACTCGTCCTCGTGAGGACGAGAAGGGGGTGAGCGGTGGCACGGGGCGGCGGAACGCGGCCCGGACGCAGGCCGACAACCGCCACCACGACGATAAAAAAACAGCGCGCGAGAGAGAGAGAAAGAAAGAAAAAAAACGAAGAGCACGACGAAGACCAGCCAGCGCCGCAGCAGCGGCAACCGCAGCAGCAGCAAGAGACAGGCCCACTGCGGAGACATCCCCTGGCGACGGGAGCGAACGGCCTGAAGCAGCGCCACCTGCGCGCGCTCGGCGGCCGGCCGCGGGTTGTCCTTTTTGGGGGGCGGGGCTCTTCCCAAACGCTAGGTCGGGCATGTCCCCCATACAAGCGGAGTTGGGGCGTTTTTGTTTTTCTTTTTTCAAGAAAAATCAAGTATGCTCAAAAACAATCCAGAAATCGTCCCCGGACTTTGAAAAAACGCGGTGCCCTGGAGAGACTGTACACGTGAAGATCTATGTAGGCAAGGTGCCCGAATGCTTTTGGAAATATGTTTGGAGCTGTCGTGGCGCGCTCTCGAGAGCACATCGCGCAGCGCTCTTTGGAGCTCTCTGGGGAGGTTTTGTTAATGGTCCCGCGCCAACGCAGGCGCCCCACAATACTGCGCAGCTGAAAAAAAAGTGGTGGTTGGCATGGAGGCGTATCTGCTATATTGATACAAGGGGGAGGGTGGACACTTGGCTTTGTTGTCTTAGGAAGGAAAGGGGCGGAGAAGCAGGGAGGAGCGAGGAGCGCCGCGTTCCTCCGTCGTCCGGCGGCCGCGCGGTCGCAAACTGTCGATGGCACTCCCGCGCGCCATGCTGCTACACAGCGAGCGCATTGCTTCAGCACCGATATATCCACGGCCACGGCGCCCAGTCCTTTTCCCTCGCCCCCCCGTTGCCCCCTTCCTCCCGCCGCCCTCTCCCCTCCCACGCCCATCCCCTCCCCGCTCGCAGCTCCTGCTCGCCCGCCGCCCCCGTCGCCCCCCACGCCCCTTCCCCCCGCGGACGCCCGAGGCCCCGAGAGCCCCACAACCCTGATATAATCACGCATCTAATGTGAATTCTCATCTGCGCGCGCTGCGAAATGGCAATGGATTCTCGGCTCTAGTGGTGCCTGCTGTGCTTAGGGCCTAACTTCAGAAATCCTACAGAGATCTGAAACTTCAGGGCTCGCTGACAACGCGTCTGGAGTGTCTGCGGGGGGCGCTCGCTCGAGCCAACCTGCCTGGCAAAACTCATCGAGGGCCTTTGACACAGCGGTCCGAAGGGTGACTTTATCCTTCGGTTTTTCCAGCTTGTGCAACAGGGGACCGGGATAAAAAACAACGGTGCAATTCCTGATCGCAGTCTCGGCGCCCGAGACGCCAGGGCCGGCACCGACGGGGGTCATAAACTTTTTGCGCCGGTGCCCCTGACCTCCCGCATGGCCTGCAGGGGGGTGGGGGGGGGCGTAGCGAGGCAGACGAGGGCGGGGGAACGCGCGAGAGATAAGGGGCGATATGAAGCATGTACGGACGGGAAGGGAGGGAGGGGGCGGGAACGGGATGCGAGGGATGAGCGCGAGAAGGCTGGCGGGGGGATCGGCAAGAGGAGAACAGGGTGACGACGCGGATGAGGGGCAAGAAGTCCGACGGGGATATTTCACGGCCAGGCGCGCGAGCATATGGGGCCACGAGGAGCACGCGGAGATCAGGAGGCATGGATGGGGCGAGGAATGACGCGGGGACGACATGGGTGGATGTGGGCGCCATCATAAGTTGGAGGGGGAGGGGGTCCTCGTCCTCAATGCAGCGCGGCATCCTCCTCCACCTCCTCGCCCCCCCCCCTTCCCCCCATCCAACTCACGGTGGTGGTGGCGGAGGAAAACAGGCCCAGCAGAGCAAAACTTAGACAGTGACTTCTCAGGCGGCAGAGCGGCCGCCCGTCGAGGCGGACGCGAGCGCGGGCTCCGCGCGAAGGCCTGGCGCGGCGCGCTGCTCTCGTCTGGGCACCGCTTGAAGCGTAAATAACTGCGCGACATGGCCCAGTCGGCCGCGCTGCCATCCGCGTCGCGCGGGCGCCAAGTCCTCGGCGACGACGACGCGGAACTGCGGAAGGCGCGCCGCGAGCCAGCGCAAGTTGAAACGGCCCTCGATGATGGCCGATCCACCTCACTCATGCTGCAGCTCTCGGATGCCGGGTGGGCCCTGCTTTTTCGCCCTGCAAGGGCCCGCTGACGGCCCTTGGTTCCGCCGCATGGGATTCGTGGATCCCCCTTTAAATTTTCAGAGGAGGTGTGGAAGACGCGTAGCGCAGACTCTCAAAGCATTGCCCCCCGTGGCAAAGTACCCGAGGCCCCTTCAGTTCGCGCATCGCTTCTGCGATACATTTGGGCATCACCTCGCATGGCCTCCAAGAGTCACGCCCAGCGATCGGCGACTTCTCGCCCCTCGACCTCTCCCCGCGCACTCTCGGGTTGATCTTGGATCGGGTGGCTGAGGGCTGGATTTGGAAACGGATTGATGACCATCTGGGGTGCCCAAGTTCGAGAATGGTGTCATCCTCGTCTACCGAAATACACAGCAAGCGAATTGGTGCTCAAGGAGCTGCCTATCTACGCAGTGTCGTCTCAGGTGGGCAATGGCCCCGGCAGCGTCAGTGCGATGCGCAGTGTTCGCAGAGATGGCAGCGCCTAGCGTGCATAGAAGCTCCTGGCACCCTCCAGCATCGTCATCTCTCCTGCCCTGCTGAGGAATAAGCGCGTGGCGAGTCGCCGCCATCGTTGGTTCGCCGTCTTGCTCTAGCGTGCGAATCTATATTGCCCCGACTGCGTGCCACGCGGTTGCTTGTGCCATAGTGCCATAGTCAGTCCCTGCTCCAGCACCCAAGCATCCAGGGCGTTGGCTTCTCGGGAGCGGTCTGGTGCAGGGGATGATTTTTGTTCTGGCCGGTTCTCGCGTGATTCGCATATTCGGACAGCTCAGCAGGGGCTGGGGTGGTCCTGCGTCTAGGTATCCCAGGGCTCATTTCGTGCTGAGGCTCTGTATGCTGGCTCTGTTTTCGCATCTTGAGGCAGACATTGACGCTCTCGAACCGTGGGCGCTCCTGCAAGGCCGTTGCCTTGCCACGTTCTATAGTGATTCGGGTTTCGTGGTGGACGGTGGGCTTGAGCGCGGGCCAGAATAGACGTGCTCAGCTCGCAGTGCCTGGGCCGAGCTCTGGCGCATGCTGTGGCATAAGATTACGGACTGGGGGCGGGTGGGGGGGATGGTCTCTCTCTCTCTCTCTCTCTCTCCCGTCAAAGAAAAAAGGGCACGCCACGCGTGCAGCCGCGCAGCCAGGTCAAGCCGATCCGTTCCTGAAGGCAGATAATGACCTTGCAGATGAATATGCGAAGCAGACCTCAGACTATTCGCGCGTCCCTTTGCGACTCGCGAGCAGTTCCAGTCAAAGGCCAGAGTTCTCACGGAGCTCGCCACCTGGGTTGCCATGGTTGGGCCCTCCCTAGTGGCGCATGACTCCCTCCATGTTCCTCCACAGCAGCGTGAGGCGAACCCCCGCGCCCCGTGGCTGGCTGTGCTGCCACCTGCCCCATCTAGTCACTCCCCGCCCCGCAGCAAACTCTGCCGATCTCGGGCACGCTTGCGCGACGCTGGCTCGCGGCAGAGTTCATGCTGTGCACCCGTTCCAGCTTGCGGACACTGGACAGTGGTGCGTGGCCTGTGCGGTCTGTGATGCAAGCGGGCCAAGCACTGTTGCATCCTTGTGGTTTCCTGTCCTGGGCCGCCTTTCCCGTCTTCCTGGGGCGGTCGGGTCCTCAAGGGTCTTGCTCGGGGCAGGTACCAGATTAACGAGATCTGGCATCTCCTCCGTGATCCCTGGCAGACGGATCGTCTGGTCCGCACAGAAGCGCAAACCCCGTCAGGTCCACAGGTGCGGCGCCCGCGCCCGTGCCCGCAGGTGCGTCGCCCGCGCCCGGCGCCCCCAGGTGCGGCCGAGCAGCGGCGAGCGCGACTGGCAGCATCGCTTGCTGCCGCCGCCGCCGTTGCCACCGCCGAGGGGAGCGCGGCGAGGGAGGACAATGCGGTTTGAAACCTGTTGTTTGGTTTTTTTGTGTAGGCGGTTTGGACTGAACCATTCCGTAGGACTGCGTCCAGGAGGAGGCGGAGGGAGCAGAAGGATAAGGACAACGAGCAGGAGGCGGATGCAGGAGGAACGAGCAAGAGCGATAGGAGGAAGAGGCGCCCCTCCGTGTCGCCAGACCCCTCCCGCCAGGGGGGGGTCGCCCCGGCCCTGCCGCCTCGCCGCGGGGCGGCCGTCCTCCGAGGGCCACGCAGGCGCTCGCGCGGCCTGCAGGCGCTCGCGCGCCTGGCGGAGCTGCCGCTCCGCCGAGACCTCGGGCCGGCTGGGCCCGGCCCGAGATCGTCGTCGTCGTCGTCGTCGTCGTCGTCGCTGGCGCGCTCCGCGCGCTAAGGAGGGGGGTCCAGCGCCGATCCAAGAACTCCGCGCGGACCTCCGAAAGGTTTTATTCTGTCAATACTTGAGCCCCGAGTGGTGCAACGACTGCGGGCTCGGGATCGGTGCGTAAGAGGCCGTGGTCGGGACAGAAGAGATCGTGGTCGGACCCTGGGATACTGGCCAGAAATGTGTATGCCATTTTCTCTGTTGCCCGAACGACAGCCTCCATTCCGACCCTGCCGCCGACCATGGAGCTCCAACAAGGCCGATCTCACGGCCCCGCCCCTCCCCCGAGGCGGGCGCCCGCGGGCCCACGCGGCGGCCACCCGGATCCCGACGCGCGCGCCGCCGCCGCAGCAGCCGTCGAAGTCGCTGCCGCAGTCGTCGCCGCCGCGGCCAGCGACGGCGGCGTCGGCGTCGCCATCGCCGTCGCAGTCGCCGCCGCCGCCGTCATGTTCGGCGGCGGCGGGTGGCGTTGTCGGCCCCAGCCACGCCGCGCGGGCCGGCCACCCACCGGTGACGCCGAGGCGGCGGCGAGGTGCGCATCGTTCTCCTGCTGGTGCGGCGCCGCGAGCGGCGATCTTGGCGAGAAGTCCTTCGTTGCGAGGCTGGGATGGTCAATACCAGCGCCTGGGGGATACATTTTCGGGGACCTCGGCGTACGGTGGAAATGGATATATTTGCCCTCCCCAGGGCACGAATGTCCACAATCATCCATCGCCTGTCGAATTTCCCCAAGGCCGATCCCCCAGTCTGTGGTCATGGATAACCCCCCGCCTCGGACTCGTCGTCGTCGCCCCAAGAAAACAACACGCAAGCAAAACCACTACGAACACATACCTACTCGCGTCGTAAACCTACTCGCGTCACATATCTACTCGCGCTCATATCAGGCAATGATTGACCTCTGGGGGCCCTTACCCAGCCCGCGAACCGTCAAACAACTACTCAGGATTAAATAGTGGCCGCTGGGATTGGCCCTAGACCTCTGAGGAGCAACTTTGTCGGCGGCCCTGGGGAAACGCCATGCCTAGCAAGCTAATGGCGTGTCGTTTCTGCTTCGTGGGACAGGAGGCTGGGAAAAGCTCGGAGCGTTGATGCTTGGGGACTGCGACGTGCTTAGCGTGTCGCGCCAGAGCGAGGTGGACCAGAACCGGCGGTAAGACACGCTAAGTAAATGTGCCGGACAGTATGCTATCACAGCACGTTCCGTGGACTGTACGCCTCACGCCAGTTCATGTATACCCGCCAGTAGCCAGCCGCGTGCTATGTTAGGACCGGGCCACTCGCTTCGGCTTCCCTGCCCCATCCACGGGCGCCTTCTCAGGAGAGCGGATGCAAGAGGAAGGGCCTCAGAGTGAATGCGGAGACGGGGCTATTAGGCGACTCAGGCGTACACCCACGTTTCGAAGGTAGTAGCTCTGAGGTGTTGGCGCCACCGTGTCAATTCGCTGGGACACCAGCAGCACCTGCGCATGGCTGCCACGAAAATCTATCCTCTTCCATGTCCTTCTGCATCCGGTTGCATCGCTCTCAGTGGCCCTCAGCATTCGTTGCATCGTTCGCAGTTGCTGCAGACACGCAGGCACCCCTCCTCGATGCGTGTTGCCCGAAGGCGTAGAATCAGCTTGATCCACTCTTGGGACCGCTGCTATCTCTGCTCTGTCCTTCAGACAGATGCAATTTCACTTTCTTCTCCACATCGGTTTCGACTCTGGACCCCATACCGACCGCGAGCTCTTGCAGTCATCCTGCGACAGTGATGAACACTGAACAAGAGAAGAAGGGGCGTTTCTGGCCACAGCGAGCCTCGGCCACGAATAGGTCCCCCGACACGGCCGGAGAAAACAGAGCCTCTCCGAAACACAGGGTCCGTATTTCCGAGTCTTGACGGCACTCCCCTGGGCAAGCGGCTTTTGGAACTGAGCCAGGACATGGGCTCGCTGGGAGTCAAAAGCGAACGCGGGCCGTGAAAACCAGTAGGATGATGCACCGTCCGTCTTGGCGCCGCAAGCAGTGAGTCGAGAGACCAGGCCCTCTTCAGTAGTTCGGCCTTGCTAACTGAGCTGCGTCGTCCGCAACCCCGATTCCAGCTGGGTGAAGACGCTCAAACCTACGGGGAGCAGGAGGGGGCTGCAAGGGCTGCTGCGCTGGGCATTAGTGCCCTCGCTGGCCAGCGCCAAGTAGCGTACCTCAGCTTCGGGCAGCGCCCGCTGCTCTCGTTCGAACGGGCTCGAAACACGGCACCGTCATTCAGCGATCCCGCCATGAGAACAGCCAGGCCCAGCCTGAAAGGGACTGCAGCCTCTGGCTGCAGCTGGGATCCCTCCCGCACGATGACCGAACCACGGCTTGAAGGATAGGCAGGAGGAGGAGGAGGAGGGAAGCAGGAGGAGGGGGAGAAGCAGGGGGGGGGGAGGGGAAGGAGGATGACGAGGCAGACCACCAGGACGAGTGACAAGGAGGAGAAGGAGGAGGAGAAGCGCAACTGTCCTCAATGATGCTTGCGAGCCCCCAGGCAGGCGTCAGCGCGCAGCCTAGGCCGATGAGAAGGCCCCAGGCGCGGCGAGCGGCCATCGAACGAAGGCCCCCCCCGCCCCAGACATCCGGCGCCTCGAAAGAATCGAGGCGGCCGTTCTTTGGGGCTGTCTCATTTCTCGCCCCTTTGGAGGCTGGTCTGAGGAGGCTGGTCTTAGGCCATGCGGGGGCCGTCAAAAAACCACTCGGGATTGGAAGCCAAGCCTGGGGAAGGAGTCCAGAGGTCCAGGCGAGCGTGCACCGAGAGAATCGGAGCGCCGGATGTCTAGGCCCCCCCGACCTCAACGATGCGGAGGGGCTCCCAGCTCTCTGGGGCACAATAACGTAATTGTATGGATAAGTTAGGGCCACCAGCAACGGAGGCTCGAGCCAGGCAGCCAGAAGGAGAGGCGGAGGGCGAGGAGAACGGGAACGACGACGACGACGACGATGCTGCTGCTGCTGCTGCTGATGATGATGATGATGATGATGATGATGATGATGATGACGACAACGACAAGGTGAGAGGGGGTCACCGACATGGGAGGGGCTCGAACCGTAGCAGGCGCTGAAGGCTCCCTTTCGCCCACGTGTGCCCGCCTTGTCCCAACCTTCCCACTCCTCTCGCACTCCCTGGGCTTACCATCCCCCAAAACCTCCTTCCCTTTCCCCCGCTCCCATGCCTCCGGACCCTCCCATACACACACATACATGTTTTGTTTCGCAGACGGTTGGTCCAACTCGGCGAAGGCATTTGCGGAATGCGCCATCACTGGCACGCACACAGCTACACACTCGTTACCAGCGGAGAGAAAATTTCTTCAGGGCGCGGGCAGCAATTTATCCCCGAAGGCCCCAGAATGATCATACAGCATGCACCACATAGCTTGCACCACATTGATTCTCCTTTCTAAAAGAGTAATAGATTCTCTTCCCCCCCCCCCCCGGACTTATCGCTTCCCCCGCGCGTGCTGTAAATCACATATGATTCTGACCACATGTCCATCCTAAATATGAATTCATACCATCCCAGCCAAGCCGGTATCCCCCCTCTGCGGTTCCCTGTCAAATAACACTATGCGGGGACATTTTTCTTTCTAACATAACACTTTTTCACGAATCCCTGTCAAATAATACCATGCGGGACACATTCGCGCGCGCGCGCAAGACGAAATCCTTACAAAACCTTAGTGTTCGTAGCGATTTTAACATAAAAACATAAAAAAAAAAAAAGGTTTTTCAAAAAACAAAAAAGTATCAAACATTCACCCCGCGCGCTCTTGCGGATTCCTAGGAAACCCAATACTTTTTCAATATTTCTGTCAAAAGGGCTCTTGCGAGCAACTTTTTCCTGCGCTTCGAACTTCTTCAACAACGGCTGCGCGCCTGCCAGGGGCATAATACTTGTCAAATAATGCCATGCGGGGCACATTCGTTTTTTCTTCGCGCGCGCGCGCGCCGAAATCTTCAAACACCATTGGGTTTCTTGAGCATTTCAGCACTGCGTGTCATAAAAACACACGAATCGCACCGTAGGTCCTCGAAAAAAACCTGCACGGATTTTCAAAATTTTGCCCGCTCGCGCTGCCCGAATCTTAAAAAACCAATGTTTTTTTCAACATTTCGGTCGCACGAGCTCGTGCGAGCTACTTTCGCGCGCTCCTTCAAAGACGTTCGCGCGCCTGCCAGGGCCACTGTCCGTGTCAAATAATACCATGCGGGACACATGCGCGCGCGCCGTCGTCGTCGTCGTCGTCGTCGTCGTCGTCGTCGTCGTCGTCGTCGTCGTCGTCGTTGTCGTCGTCGTCGTCGTCGTCGTTGTCGTCGTCGTCGTCGTCGTCGTCGTTGTCGTCGTCGTCACGGCGGCAGGGCGGGGAAAGGGGGGGCCCGAGGCTCGCGAGAATCGTGGTTGCGTTGGCCCGGCGCCCGTCGTCGTCAGTGTCGTCGCAGTCGGTGTCGGCGGCGCCGTCGTCGTCGATGTCGCTGTCGTCGTCGGCGTCGGTGTCGTGGCCAAGTGCCATCTGGTACCTACCGTCACGGTCTTGTCTGAAGAGGTCTTGCGACCAAGTTGCGGGTGGGAGGGTGGGATGTTTGCACGAGCAGTGGAGAGGACAGCTTCAAGACGGTCAAGATTACTTGCACCACATAGGCTGCACCACACTGATTACACCACATTGATTGCACCACGTCGTACACACATCCACAGAGCAACAAGTCACTGCTTGTGGTCCACGCTGGCAGGCATACTCCCACATCTCAAGAAGGCTGGACCCCCCACGACCTGTGACGCCCAAGAACAGATTGCGGGCCTCCTGGACGTCCCTGGCGCGCCTCGAAAAACGTGCCCAAAGCGGTCGAGAGGGCGCCCGAAAGGCCTCACGGGAGCCCCAAGTGGCTTCAGAAATCTCCGAGACGCCCCA